CCTTCGTGCGCGCCTTCGACGGAGCGTACGCGTCGTACCATCGGTCGCGCGCAAGGATATAATTTCATTTTCCGCTCTTTGAGCGCTTTGTTTTGCGAATTATTCACGCCTCCGTCGGTTCACGCTCGAATATTCCGTAGAAAGGCCTATTCTGCAGCCTTTCGTATTACAACCCCGTTGACTTCCGAAACGAGTAATGGTAGCGTGAAATGTGGGCGGATTTACAAGTCGCATGAGCGCAACATATTTTAAGTCTCCCGTGTTTGGTATTTCTGTCAAAAATCCGGTAAATGTTACAGTCAAAAAGTGTAATTTTTCATGTGCTAAGAAAAATTAAGTCAGCACTTTTTTTAAATCTCTTAGCGCTTCAAAAGTCAAGGATGACGCGTGTGACAATGCTTTAAAAAAGACGAAAAAAAATGAAATACGAAATGAAAAAACTCCCGTCAATTTTGTATCCATTAAAATAACGGAATCGATAAGAAAGTGCCGATGTGAGACGCGGAAAGTATCAGCCCAGGTGCGGATCGTAGATGGATTCTAAATAACATTAGGTACAATCCGTTCCACGGCCGACAATCGTCCCTCGCAAATAGACGTCTCACGTAACCGCGTCGAGTTTATTGCCGGACGAAATCTTCCACGTTCGCGTGCGCTACAATTTAAGTTACCCCGAGTTCTCGCACTCTGCCGCAAACCACCGGCCGGAGAAAACACAAAGGGGTGTCCATTTGCCATCTGATAATAATTGGAAAAGTTATCGCCGGGATGGAGTTTTGCCCGCAACTAACATTTTCCCCTCCGAAACTATTCCGGCCGATGTAAAATGGAGAAACTTTCGCATCAAGGAATAACTTCCGCCGCTTTTGAATGATATTACTTCTTTCCGCCCGCAAATTCCCGGGAAGTGCCTCCGCGACTTCTCGCAGGGACTTAAACGGACTCGGTGATTTGCTCGAAGGGAGGAGGGAGGGCACACCGTCGCCGTGTACACCGAGCCGCGTACCTCCCGAGAAGGGAGGAAACTTGTTGTTCGCAAAATATAGAATATTTAATCCGTCGGGCGGCGGTTCCGCTCGGCGGTTTCACTCCGAAATCGTATCTCGGCACGCCGGTGCCGAGTAAACTTGATGATAGTTGCTCAAGAGATTCGGAGATGATTTTAGAGAGAAACCATGGATCTTCAAAGCGGTAACGATAACAATCGCTAGGCGAATTTGCGTCGAGGATCGGGAATATGGTGGGACATTCGGTTGCCGACTCGCTTCTTCACGGACTCGACGAGCATTAAGCTCGATCCGTGATAAAGACTTCACGAGCGTTTGCAGGTTGGGATTTATATCAGGATATCCTGGAAATTCCAATCTTAACTTTAACGTCGAGTTCTTTAACGAATTTCAGCCAACTTTTCTTCAGAGAGCATCATAAATCTGTGTTAAAATTATATAAAAATAGAGTTTACTCGGATTTAAATAGAGAAAAAAAAATTTTTAATTACATCTTGAAAGTTTAATTCGCGAAAAGTTATTTACTTTAGGCCGCTTAAAATTAATGTCGTTTAATTGCGCCACAACGAATTTTAATTTTGCCGCAACGCGCAAAAATATCTGAATGAGTAGTTTGCGGCCGAAGTTGATTGCAGTGAAACTGCATTCGAGCCGGTGCCTTTTCAAAACGCCGCTGGCGATCGCGTAATCCCGCCCTAGGTGGAGCAAGGTGAAAAATGAAAATTTTCCCACAAATTTATCGAAGTTGTGACTATGTAACTTTTTCCCCCCCGACGCGAAGCAATGACATTTGATTGGACGAGATTCATGTGCGATTTGAAAGGATGAAATGCGAAAATTGAAAAAGTTCCACCGACGATTACGCGATTGACTCCGCGAAGACAGATGTATGCTGCTCGCGGCAGAACGCGGATCGCTTGCAGAGGAGCTTGCAGGGTGTGTGCTTGCGAAGATTTTGCAGAACATTATCTTTCACCCTCTCAATCGAGAGCGACGCTGCAAGCTCTTTTCACAAAAGAAAAATTTCACAGCACTCTATTGTTATTGATTCTCAGCGATATATTTGCGAGAACTCAGTTGTTATTTTGCGATATAACAGAAAAACATCTCGTCACCATCGGTGACACGGCTTTTAATGAACAGCCAAGTTTAGTGAATATGGTCGTGGCCGCTCTTGAAGTCATCACTGATTCCCCGATACATTTGCGGGAATGGAAAATCGACAGATACGCCGAAGCTTATGCGCCGCGCAGGGCGCACCGCGAATCCGACGCTTTCATTACCCAGGCAAATCGAATTTCGCGAGGATTGTGTTACTTTGCCGCTTCACGGCCCCCGCTATTTCCATTTTGGTCAACTATCCGCGAATATAATGCCGTAGCAGCGCCGAATGTACGGTTCGTTTATTACTACTTGACATTACTACTGCGATGGCTTGGCAAAGAAGGGAAACGACATTGCAGCGATGCCTGAACGATTGTTGAAAAATAAAAAATTTCCGCCAGACACGCGTGTTGTGCTCGCTCGGTAAAATACTATTTGGCAACTATTGGGATTGTTTTGTCGCAAAAGCCCCCAAAAGCCGCAATAAACAATTTTTCAGAGAAGAGCAAAATGGACACGAAATGTGTGATATTTTTTTTACATCGCCGTTCAATATTTTATGAAGCTATAATATTCTACAAATTTTTTAAGCATTTGCATTTGAAAGTGATACATTTTGACATGCAAAACTGTGAATCCGTGGAACAATGTCTTCAGAAAACACACCCCGAAGAGATTTTACCGAGTCGAGGCTTCTTTTTATTACACGTTGAACAAATATCCGTCGATTGTCTCTGGTATCTTCCGTCCTCCAAAACCCTCCTACACTCATTCACGGGGAAGAAACGTTTGCGTTGTTTTCGGAAAACAAGTAAGGGAGCGCGTTTCAATCACACCTGGCGGCGTTCGGCGCGCGCGCGCGACGGTACGCAAAATAATCGTCACGTCGGACGTCGATTGTAATTGCGCGATCACGTTATTACTTTCAATCGGCATAATCCGCACCGTCAATCGCGTCCGCATTGTCCCGAGAGCGCACTGACGTGTTGACGCATCATTACGGAAATTGTAAACGCTATGAAATTCCCATTCGCCCGTGACTCGGATCGCGCCCGCGACTCGGCGGAATTAACGATCGGCGAATGATCCCGCGCCTCCGTCCGCGCGTCGCGCATCCGGTCGCGCGGAACCGCCAATGTAGAGCGGGATCCAATCAAACTTGGTATTCCGGCTGTGTCCTGCTGCTAGCATTGCTGCTGAGCTGCATTTGGCCAGAAGTGATTTTTCGCAATCAATAACTTCACTGTTTACGCACCGCTTCCTATGCAGCCGCCGCTCGCTTCGCTACCCCCGCGGGCCCCGGCGCTGTAATTACATTTGCACCGTGCGGCGCGGCGCGGCGCGACGGCGGGTGCAAAGCTTTCAGAATTCTCCTGACGGAATTTCATCGATCCCCGCGTCTGTTGGCGCGATCGCGCGCGATAGAGACGCGGCGCGCGGCTGCCGGCACGCATATAAACGGGCCCTAGACGAGAGACAGCTCGGCGCGACGACTATTTATTGTTTCTTTGAACGTTTAATTAAACTCCGCGCGCGGAGATGTAAGTAAATTTCTCTTATTTCACTCGCGCGGACGTGTTTCGATTCTACCGACAACCCAGGCAGACAGAAACGAGTGTCACTTCTCTAACAACTCTTTCACACTGGTGTTGCACAGTATTGTCCAAAAGCGCTTTACGTATGAAATTGTCAAGTTGATTTTACGTGTCTGTTTTTTATATAAGACCTATCCGACAGCGAAATAATAATTTTCGATATTCTTGCATATAATCACACATTTAGAATTGTTTTTGCAAGGTTATAATTATATATTAATGTAATAATTGAGAATTATCATAAAAAGCCTGTGTTTTTTAAACATGGAATATAAATACAGTGTTGTATCGTATTATTCCTATTTTTCCACATTTGTTGAGTTGATATAATATTCATCTTCTACATTATAAACAAATTTGATGTGACATCGATTTTGCAAAAATCTCTATCGCAATTGGGAAAATTTATATTACAACGAAACAATCGTTTGAAACTAATATTATCTATTTGTGAGATACTCTTTTTCTAAAATTATTTTAAAATAATTATAATTGCGTTAGAATCAATGAAAGAAGAAACTGACAGTCTGCGAGTGATACGCGATAAATTTCCAATAATATTTGGACGATTTCACGCGTGAAATTATAGAAAGCATTTGACGAGATGACTTAGATTTTTTGGAAATCGAGATTTTGTCCACCTATGGCACAACTATGCGTCATGCCACCATGCCGCTCGACATGCTCATCGAAGCGTAACACACAGTTCGAGCTAGCAGAATTTCAAAACGGTGGACATTTCCGCCGCGATGTCTAGCACTGCCGTGGCCGTGACACTGCACAAATGTGTGGCATCGGTTTTTCGCGCGTACCCGCCGCGCTCCGCGTCGCGCGAAAGAATCTTCCTGATGCGACGCGACGTGCCGGCAACGCAAAAAGGAAATGCATTTTGACACGGAGCACAACCAAGCGGAAGTTTAAATGCATTTCTAAAACCACGGGAAACTTTCAGCGTCGCGTCGTCCCCGTCGTGGGAAAAATTAAAAAATATAACTTGTTAGAACTACCCGCTGGTGGAAAAAGTTTGATCTTGTATTCAAAATAGTGTCCCAAGTAGAACTCTCGCGAAATACGGTACACCGGCTGCCTAATTCTTGATTTATACATTTTTATCATGCATTAGTTTATTCTGCCGTTTTACTGTTTTGTGTCTTTCTTTGCCGATTTAAAAAAAAATTAATATTAAATTCGCAATAAATTTTGAATTTTCGGCTTTTGCCGCTTCTTTTATTGAATATTTTCCGCGAATTTTTCGTACACTTACTAATTTATCGCAATATTTTCTCTGTTCCAGATGTGAACTGTTCCCAAAAGTATTATTGAATCGCGTTACGTAAGGAGCAACTGGAAATCGCAGTGAGGAAGGTAAGTTCGAAAAGTGGTTATTCGATGGACAAACGTAATATCGGAAAATATCGTCGGCATTTTCTGGAAATGGTCACAGTAGTAATCAGTTGTGGCACTGTAATCGTATTCCATCTGTGCAAACAAAATAATATAGTGCATTTCCAGCGATTATAGATAATGATTGATCGTTCGCTTATTGAAACTCATTATAATAATAAACCGCTCTATTATTATCATGGATTTATTAACGCAATATATTATTGTTAATGAATAATTCTTTCTGCGTGATCAATAATTGCATCACATATTGCGCGCGGCACAAAGCGGTTTCAATTATTCATTATTAAAGTGCATCTTGTCTAGCTTGGAAGCAATTAATGGAAAACCGTTTTACGTAACCGCAATTCTCTGTTTTTTCTGTTGCAGGACTCCTGACTATCGCGACTTTTCTCTCTACTTATTATCAAATGCATTTCTTACTATTGCAATGTACCCGTAACACGGTGTCCGAATAAATAAGCGGTTATTCGTATTTTTGAGAATCGTGATAGCTTCGTAGTGTGCAAATGTAATTAGCGCGAGAAAAAAAAAAAAAAATTGGAGCATACTACCTGTAACTCGTATTGCAACGAAGTAACATTTTCTCCTCTTTCTACTCGACGATAGTTTTAATCAATGATCGATTTATTAAAAATTCTTCGGTAATTCTCTTGTTTAATCGAAAAACGGAGATCGATGTACATAGCGAGAGTTTTGTATATTTGTAAAATAGATAGGGCATTTTATTATATATATAAACAATAAAGTTATTTATATATATTTTAATCACAAGGCAAGCGTATTTCCTTTTCTCATTCCTCTGGTACACTCGCGCGATATTCACCGTCGCCGTCCGTCGTCTCATTGTTCCGTTTAAAATGGCGTGGCGGACGGGCCGAAAGACTGCGACGCTTAATCTAAAATTCTATCAACCGCTGTGTATAATGTATATCCATTTGTACAAAGTCGCGTGGAAGTATTAATATCATTAACGCCGGGCGCTACGGCGACCGGTCGTACGTAATTGTTTGTTTTGAATGGGCGACCCGTGGCGCTTCGCGGAGAGAGCAACATCGACAAGTTCGGCGAAGTCGGCGCCAAAAGCATTAAATAATATTACGTTCGGCATTATATTTGCCGGCTCGCGTCGATGATTAATAGGGATACTCCGCGTAGCGTGACGTCGAGTAATATGTGCGCATTGTAATAATAAACAGTACGAGAGGCATAAATTCGCGGATGGGTTAATTAGTACAAATTACTGCGGTATCAATTCTCGCCTACTAATTGCAAGCAGTCCGGCGTAGTCGCGCGGACGGCAAATTAATTCCATTAAGTCGTGTCTTGCGATACGAGACGTGTAGAGGATCGATTGAAATCGAGACTGTGTTGTAAATATTAGTTTTCTGCTGTATCGATGTACCATAAAATTGTATCAAAAACAACTATTCCCTTTGTAAATGTTGCTCCCTGCTCGGGCAGCAGCAATTAACGGAGATTACTTGCGTTTCGCAATAAAAAAAAAAAAGGCTAAAGTGACAAGTGGCGTCCTTGACTTACCCAGAAACGAACGCTTCACCGGGAGAGATCTTCGATTGTATATTTGCCTTAACTTGTTTGTCATATTTGTACATACGTCTTCAATATATATGTAATAAAGAGAAATTCTCGTGCAACTTTTAGACGACCTGACGTGAATCTGCTCACGCTCCTGAAAAAGCAGTTTTTTTACTTTTCTAATTATTCGATCCGAATGGATCTAGGAAGCTGCGTAGTTGAAGTGTGCACATGGCTGGCAGTGCAATAACGTCCCAAGAAGAAACTTAATATCTTTAATTCCCTTGCTATCGACAGTTTCGACCAACGCTGAGTCTTTTTTTGTCGTCTGTTTTCTCCTTTTTGACGAGCTTTTACTCAACTGCACGACGCACGAAAAAGCCGCACAATTAAGTGCCCGGTTGAAACAGTCAAGAATAATGTTTTTGTTCTTTCGCCATACAATTTATACAGAGAACTACGGCACGATATATTTTTTGGATTGTAAATTTGCGAAATTTTTTTAACAAATTTAGAATTCCAATATTCTTTTGACGAAAATTAACTTTTCAAATTGAACTTTGTTGACTTGCTGGAAATACAAATCGACTGCAACAATTATGTAAAACAAGAGGAGAAACCGGGGAAGATCGGAAGAAAAAAATTCACGCAAAGATGAAATGGGCGTACAGTAAAGAGAACAATTCCCATTGTCAGCTTATAAAACGAGCCATGCGAATCGCTTTCGCGATATATCCGCGAATGAATGCAATGCGAGATCGATCGCGATACAATGGCGACAGATCGCTCCTTCGTGCGGGCTCACCTTTTGGGTCTCGATCCCCGTCTCTCTCCCGCCCCACTTTTGGTTGCCATTTGTGTCGTGCAATGGAGTGCACTGGTCCTGACAGCACTTCAGTCCCCTGCTTTCGCTTTGTCCCGCCGTTCCGCTCCGACAATGAGACTCGGCTTCGCGATATGAATGAATCCTTCCCAGCTCGGGCACATCCCCCTCGGGCTGGAAGTGCTGCAGGTCCCCCGCGCACATCCGATTGCCGGCGTACCGGGAATACCATGAGCGCCCCGGAGCATCGCCAGTCCGCTCATATTTCCTCCAATAAAGTCAAACGTCCTCGGGCATGACCCCTTCCGGCGGATCAACCGGCGATTCGTCCATATCGACACCTCAGGCGTCTCTCAAGCGGTACGTATATCATCCAGAAACGATATTTCCAGATCTCTGCGGTCCCTCAGAATTATTCTCATATTATTATTTTAAGCAGTTTCGTTCCGATTTGATGTGTACAAAGTTATCTTATATTGTAAGAATGTCGCACAGACGTCTTCGAGCTCAAATGTAATCGACTCTTTTGCACGATTTCGAATCTTGTTCCTCGAAACTTTTTGAGGCCGATTTTACTTGTCGCAACTTTTTATATACTTAAACGGCAAATGTGTCGGAGCGCTAATTCAATAGCGTATTATTCCTCCGATATGTAAAAAATCGAAAACAAATAATTGCAGAAACTGATCGTATTAAACGTATATAAAACGTATCATGTCGAATTATACGTCATGGAAATCGTCCACGTTTTCAAAGATTATAGATATGTCTGTAAAACACGAATCGGGCATGAACAAAAGCGACATTTCACGAAAGAGCACGTCCATGTAAATTGCCGATTTATTTATTCCTATCTAATGGATTCTATCGAGCTTTTCGAAGTTTTTTTCAGATGCGCTTTAACGTTCACGTCAATTTTGTTATTCGCTCGATCCATTAGCGCTCGCCGGCCACGCGCGTGTGACGCTCAATTTTCGCCGAATCCGCGAATATTTTCATGCCCGTCGCGCTCTCTTCTCGCTAGTCTCGAAAATATATGCCTATGCGTTTCCGCTTCGATGCTCGAACGGCGCGCAATCTTAGACGGAAGACACGCCGTGCGCGATACGATTTATATTAACACGGCATAAAACGGGGAATCGCGGCAAGATTTATGTTGTTATTTGTCCCGCAGGTGGCTGTTACGTGCGTTAAGGCGAATGGACTATATACCGGTCTATATATCTTCCCTTTGGAAGGCTGGTTTCTCCCGCTTTCTTTCCCCCCCCCCTTTCTCCTCTTTTGTTCCCCCCGCCGCGCGTATGGCGTCGAGCAACCAGACGACGGGCTCACGAAGGGCCACGCCGCCGCCGTCGTCGTCATCCGGCGTAGCCTGAGAATGGTACCAGATAACAAGACGGCCATTTTTTTCTTATTTCCGACGAAGCGCACGAATACTGATTTATTTCACGGCACGCGACGTCACCGGGGCGAAAGTATATTCTATTTCCTCGACGTCGGTTGGCCGTCGCTCCAGATACAGGCAGATACTGTAGGCGGCCTGAAGGGCAACCCGTCTTCTCGCGCGCTTGACGCTGATGTTCATTTAATGATAATATCGACTATCGTTCCTCCTCTCCCCCTCTCCCCCCCCTCGTTTTCCCCTTATCGGAAACCTCTTTCAATCGGAAGATCGAGTCTCCCGATATCCGTCGCTTACGTCTCTGCGTCTTTCTTATTTGTTCCATCTGCTCTATCTTGCCGCGGCGTCGTGTCTGCGGCATTTCAGAGATGCATGATGAACGATCTCTCATTATCATTACGTTCGCGCGCGGATAACTCAATCTGATCGATCGCCGCGTCCCTCCGCGATCTTTCGTCGATCCGCGGCTGTTATTAACCGCCGCTGACACAATAAGAAGGCTAGGCGACTACTTCGCCGGCTACTAAAAGTTGCGCGAAAGACTAATTAAGACGGGGGCCAATCATTATGCGGCGTAAAGAACGGCCGAGATTAATTGCTGAAGTTCTGCGCCTCGCATGAGGCCGCGAGTCAGCGAAGAGCATTCCCTCTTTTTCTCTCTCTCTCTCTCTCTCTCTTCTCTCGTTTCACCGGAGCGTGGTGCAATAATAGCGTAAATTGCAACGTAATGAATGCAGTCTGACAGAAAGTAACGAAGCTCATCGTCGGCCACTTCTCTATTCTACTTGTGACATGATCTGCAGCGAACGAGGGCGGCAACACGGCGCGCGGATGCGTGAGGAGTGTT